AAGAAGAAGAAGAAGAAGAAGAAGAAGAAGAAGAAGAAGAAGAAGAAGAAGAAGAAGAAGAAGAAGAGAAAGAAGAAAAGAAGAAAAAGAAAGAAGAAGAAAGAAGACACTGTTTTTGCATCTCTATCTTTAAATAAAGACACCAAAAAAGATTTTTTTGAAATAAAAAAGATTAATAAAAACCAAAAACAAAAACTGAAACGAAGCCCAGTGTACCAACCCAATAAGATTCAATGGGTATTCAGTATTCAGTTAAGAACCTCACACACAGTAACGACAGAAGTGTAATTCTTTAAACTCAAAGAGAGTACTGACTGAAACAGTCAGCGTAACGGTACTGAAAAGGCTGTCAGTTCGCGTCCAAACTTCGTAATGAATGTCGCGACTCCAAGAGATACTTAGCACTTTTAGGTCCCAGGTGGACCCGAACAGCTTTGTCAACCTCCAGCAGAGATTTGCACACAGTGTGTAAATCTTTTCTCACAGAAGTTTCCCTCATTGATGCTAATCGGTGCATCGCATGATTGGTCTTCTGCTTTGGAAGACGTTTGGAAAGTAACGACTTTGTTCTTAAATTTTCCACGTCGTGAAGTCTCAAGAAAAGGGTCCATTTGAAAACCGCTGTGTAAGTGTACTCCCCTGGGGGTGCTTTTCAAGATTTTGAAGTCCTTAGCAATGTCTTTCGAAAACTAAAGAACCCAGCTGGGCTGGACTGAAGCAAGGACGCGAGATGGGAGAAGGATGTTTATGTTTCAACGATCAGTCGAGTGCCCTGCTTTTCAGTCAGGGCCATTATGTCCCTTATTAACGGTCCAGCGGCGGGTAAACAGCAGTATTTGTGGAAGGTTTAGGTCCTGCCCTGACCTTTGGAGTTTAACGTGTATGTGTGTGCAACGTCGTTTTAACGTGTTTGAATTGGGAAGCTTAGGACGCGTTCACACCGGTGTGCACTAAGTCGCACCCCCTCTGAACTCTGAACCTCGGGACGAGGGCGTTTAAATGTTATTCAGCGTTTATTTGCTTGTGTGTCAGCTGGTCCCTTCTTTGTCGTCTTGCTTATAAGACTGTGCTCCGCGCTCTTCGCCTCAAGCAAACCCCTCCTGCAACTTTTTAAAAGCTCCACTTCTTTTTCTTTCTCCGGCTCTTTTTACACACACACCTTCTGTTTCCTCTGTGCGTTACCTCTATTTTATTTACTCTCTACAGTGAACCTCATTTTTTCTACTTAATCTGAGGCAGAGGCTCGACCTACGATTCAAGTTTGTTTCTACGAGATTCCCCTAATATTCATGGTCACCAATCATCGGTTTGGATTGGAATCATTGTCTTAATAATTATAAAGACTGCTGTTTGGTCACGGTATTCTTGTTGTTGTTGTTTTTTTTGCACTTTACTAAACTTTAAAAACCCAAAGTGAATCGGTAGTCTGGAATATATTTGGGATAATTCAGCCCCTCATATCTTTCGAAAGTAGTGTGTGGACTTTGCATAATCAGGAATCATATATGAGCATTTAGGTGAGCCAAAATAAATTTGTAAGCTGCCAGAAATCTTGCTTAGAATGTCTTCAAATTTGAATGTTTAAACTGTAGTTCATGTTGGTTTCAAAACCTTTTGAGTCGTGTTTTTTGTGGTTTATAATGTTGGTTTTTTCCCAACACATTACTAAACTTTTAAAAACTACAAGAACCCCCCCCCCCCCACCCGCCCACCCCCCCCGTGAATCGGTAGTCTGAAACAATTTTTGGATAATTCAGCCCCTCACATCTTTCAAAAGTGGTAAATGCTCTCTAAATTCCGGCTGACATAATACCATATATAAAGCGTCTTGAATCCATTGCAAAACACACAGCTGGGGGCTCTCGTGGCCTAGAGGTTAAGGTGTTGGCCTCTCATTCAAAGGTCCCGGGTTCGAATCCGGGTAGCGACCGAAAAATTTTCTTCTCTTAAATTGTCTCCTTTCACCTCCTTTCCTGTCCTCTAGCAATGTTCTGTTGTCTGCTTTCATTTCCACTTTCTGCCCCCACCCCCTCGCCCCCTTTCCCCCCTCCTCTGGGCTCCTGACTCTTTCTGCAGCCTTTCTACTGCTACTCCTGGGCTCCTCCTTACTGCTGTCTTTCTGCCACACCCCTGATCTTCTGGTAGGAAAGATCTACACCTAGCCTTCTCGGACAAGGGCGAAAAATCCCGGAGGGCCTGTGTGCAAGTTGCGCACGTTAAAGATCCCTTGGTGGTCTAAAATCGATAAGAGTAGGCTTCGGCCGCCACCCGGGCAAAATTCAAAATTTCCTACCAACTGAAAATATTAGGTGTGTCCCGCGCGCTCATATGACCTTATGCAGTTGCGAGCGCCGTAAAACACTTTACAAAAACGAACAAACAAACACACAGCTCTTAATTTTAACCACTTCACTTCCAGGTTCCAGAATTGTGGTGAAAGGGAAGGGAAGGGAAGGGAAGAAGAAAGGGGGGGAGGGAGGGAGGGAATGTTGAGATGGGAGAGTAGTGAGGAAGCATTGTGAGGAAGCTTAGTGAGGGGGTGTCCTTCTCTACCCCCACACACAAACGCTACAGCAATTCAAGCCAAGAAGAAGAGTGCATTTAGCGCACTGTGCAGTTGCGAGCGCCGTAAAAACTCTTTAAAAAAAAAAACCAAAAAAAAACCCAAACTTTTAGGACAACTTGTAACACAGACTAGGAGCAGCAAGAACAACAGACATGAAAGGATTCATGCCAAATGCCGCCGATGCTCTGTAGAACAGCCCCAAATGATGTAGCATTTTCAGTTAATTGAAGCAAGGTTTTTATATTCCTCCCTTAATTATAACTTTTGTTTTGTACGTGTGTATGTGTGTGTGTGTGTGTGTGTGTGTGTGTGTGTGTGTGTGTGTGTGTGCGTGTGTGTGTGTGTGTGTGTGTGTGTGTGTGTGTGTGTGTGTGTGTGTGTGTGTGTAATGTTTGTGTATGTATATGTGCGTGTATGTATTCAAGGAGGAAAGGAAGGGGGGGGGGGGGGCAAGTTAAGGGTTTGCATTTCATACGTATAATATTCTTATCACAATCAACAACAACAGAGGCCGGCACGATGTAAGTAGCGGACACAGAACAAAATCCCTCAATCTTTGATATGAGATTTAGCCCGGGCAAACGCTCGTCAAACTCAGTCTTTCTCTTTTGCACACTTCCAAAGAAGTGTATGGAATTTGCTGTGAAGGGGCCTGACCTTTGTAAGGGCACAATTGCTGTTGTTCCGGAGCTCTGATGTGTGTCTTCCTTCTTTCAGCGCGGACTGTGGTCAGTGAAGCGTCATGTCGATTAAGGAGCCACTGTGACGCAGGAGTGTTGAAACCGGACCAGGATACCGCCCCGAGGGATATATAATATTATAGTTCTGGCTTAGATGAGAAGTTCAAGAGGTGAGTGAGTAATATAATTAATTATGTTTGTTATTGGCTTATTTGTTGTTGTTGTTGTTGTTGTTGTTGTTGTTATTGTTGTTGTTGTTTATGATGTCTACAATTTTTCAATTGTTTGTGTTACAAGAGCTTTTGGGTTGTTGTTGTTGTTGTTATTGTTGTTGTTGTTGTTGTTGTTGTGATTGTTTTTGTTAATGCTTATGTTTTTCTTCTTCTTTATGCTACACGTGCTTTGAGTTGTTGTTGTTGGTGGTGTTGTTGGTGTTGTTGGTGTTGTTGTTGTTGTGTTGTTGTTGTTGTTGTGTTGTTGTTGTTGTTGTTGTTGTTGTAATTGTTGTTGTTGATGCTTATTTTCCCCCTTGTTTGTGCTACACATACTTTGAGTTGTTGTTGTTGTTGTTGTATTTGCTGTTTTTGTTGATGATGATTTTAAGTTTTATTGCCTAATTTATGGTACTATATTATACATGTACTAGTGTTTCTTGTTTTTTCGTTGTTGTTATTGTTGTTGTTATTATTGTTATTGTTGTTACTGTTGTTGTTTTTAATGTAAGTTTCATTGCCTTGTCGATGTTATTTGGGTTATATATATTTTTTGGTGCCGATGTATTGTTGTAGTTGTTATTGTATGCTATGGCTATTGTTGTTTTTTTAAATACATAGATTCTATATAGCTTTGATGCTGTGTAGATGTAATCGACGTCATCAACTTTTAGTATTGTGTCGTTGCTGTCGCTGTTGCTGTTTGCTGTTGTTATTGTTGTTTTGGTTTATGGTTGCGGTTCTCACTTCTTTTACCGAGTTATCCCTCCGCGACCCTGCCCCCCCCCCCACCCCCACTCTTAACCCCTCTCCTCCTTTCCCCGCCCAGCCGAAGCATCCAACCCCATTTTCCCAACTTTCTTGAAAAGAAAGAACAATCAACCCTATTCAGGGAAATATCTAAGAAAAAAGAAAAGAAAAAAAAAGAAGCCTCAAACAAAAAAGACGAAACGCTTTCCTAGATTGCGTCCTTGATCACACGTCACAAACACACTGTGAGAGATTTGAAATGTTGCGTATTTTTACGCACACCGATGTCGAATGGTTTACAAAAAAAGCCTCCACTTTTCAAAATGAATAGATCCACTTTAGACGCTTCATATTATAAATATCCGTTTAATTTTTTTTTTCTGCTGAAGGTGCTGGTATGACATAAGTAAAGGGTATGCTGACTTTTTAGAGAATTTACAAAACCCTGAACATTTTGTAAAGGGCTTTCATCAACAAAATTAATTAAATTACATACATAGTTTACGTTCAGATATTCCCTCTACTTTGTGCAGAGACAAAGTAGTTATTTGTCAACTGGAAAGCCTGGCATGAAGAAAAAATAAGGGCCAATATAAAAGCTATGGAAAATTATACCCTGCACTTTTTTTGCACCCCGTAAAGCTAGCTTTGCCTCTCCTTTAAGGTTCCATAATATCTACTTAGTTTTAACAAGTGGTTCCCAGTCTGTCATATGATGAAGCCATGTATTAAAAGGCCCGAGGCAACAGGCTCGTATGAAAGGACCTCGGTGTTTAAATTCCTTTTCAAGTTCGGTAAATGAAAACAACATAAAAAATCAAATTACAAAATAAGAAGGGTGAAAAAATGAATTATGAAACTCAGCAAAACGTGAATTGTTATTACTGAGTTTAGTTGGGTTTTTTGGGGGTTTTTTCAAGCGAATCAGTAGCTGGTTTTTATTTTTATTATTTTCTTTTCACACATATATGCTAGGCAGCTGACTATTTGGTGATCTTGTATGGACTGCTCCTTTCGTTACATTTTAGTACATAATATCATATGTGAGGCAGCGTGGTGGAATCAGGCTCTCGTCAAAATAATCTAAGTGAAGAAACTTGCATTTTTCCACAGGTTTTTTAATTTTCACCAAATTTTTGTTTTTTTGCCTCAACACCTTTCATGCCCATTAAAGAACTCATTTCTGTGTGGATTTTTTCTGAAAAACGTTAATTAAAGGCACAAAAAATGGTAAATTTTCAGTTACCACGGACTCTAAAGCTAAGGTAATAACTAATCTTTGGAAGCCATTTTCTTTCTCATTTTACCTCTGAAAAACAGGTGACCCCCACCTCCTTCATTCGCAAATATCTCGACTTGTATTCAAGATAAATGGATATTTTTTTCACCCTAATAAAGACAACTGAACAGGCGTTAAGATGATACCAATAACTCTACATGCCCAAAAATTGACGAGAGCCTGATTCCACCACGCTGCCTCACATATTGTGTGTTCCACGAAGAGAGAAAGAGAGAGAGAGAGAGAGAGAGAGAGAGAGAGAGAGAGA